TTTTTTTAATTGAGGAGGAAAATGGACAGTGAAGGAAAATAGGAGAAAGTTAATTCAATTGACGTAATAGATTATTTTTAAAAGTTAATATGTTTAGAATATATTTTATAAAATAAATTATTAAATAAATTTGAAATATAAATTATTTTTAAAAAATATAAATTAGTTTATTATAATAATTTTAAATTAAAATACAAAAATTATTGTAAAATTTTAATAAATGAGAAACATTAAAATAAATTAATTGTAAGAAAATAAATGTAAATTAATTAATTTTATTTTATATTATTTTAATATGTTTATTTTGAGTACTTATCATATTATTTTAAGAGCATAACTATTAATAAAATGTTAACAATAATCAAATTATATTAACGTATATGTTTATAATAATTATATACGTTTACATAAATAAAGTATTATGCTGATCGTATTTTTAATATAATTAATTACATGGTAAATATTTTATTATATTTATGTATATATTAAAAAATACGTTATCTTTTTGTTACAAATTTTTCTCGATTATACATAAATTTGAGAATTTTTTTTCCATGTATATATTTTTTTTCCAAATTTCTCTGTTTTTCTTGTCGGACATTTATTTACGTTTTTCCATACCTTAAAACAAACAAATTGTTGTCCTTAAATGTGTAACTGATTAAATTCATTTTTTTTCAATTTCGAGGAATTAAATTATTATATTAAAAAAAAACTTTATCACAATGTATCACAATGATATTATAATTGTTTAGGAATAACAAAATAAATATTACACGATCAGAGGTGAGTCAAACTAACTAATTAATAGTAACGGTGGTTAAGATTAGAAATACCAAGAGTGGTTTAAAACACTCAACTATACTTCATTGAATATTTATTGAAACTTTCTAAGTTAACTTAGAGAAGAACTAATGTAGTCCTACCAAGTAAACTAGTATAAAATGTTATATGTTTTTGCTGGTTGGTAAACGATCCAGTTTTAGTTGAAGCTTCTTCACACTCTCTTTCTATATCAACAAGAGTCGCTTAATCTAAAGTTACTGTCTACATACAACCCTTGGATACATTTAGTTAGTCATATCTTGTCAAGATAACATTTACTAACAAGTCACATCATGCATTATTATCCAATTCCGAAAAAGTCGAGAAAACATTATTCAACCACCCCTCCTCCACCCCCCTCCCCCCTTCTAGTGTTCTCTCGCACCTTCAACGTCCTGATCTTGCAAGTGTGTTGATGAAGCTTTTTCAAAGGGTAGACTCTATATGAACAACGATAGTAACAAAAGCAAATAAAGATGAAGATGGTCATAGAAGAGAATTTGAAAATGAACTTTTTCAAAAATTGAGAAAACGGTGGCATTAACCACAACTTTCCAACTCCAAGGACTCCATAGAAAAATGGAGTCGTTGAGAGGAAAAATAGGTCTTTACAAGAGATAGCCAAAACAATGTTAAATGTTTTAAATTTTCCTAAGCACTTTTGGACAAAAGTAGTCAGAACTACATGCTTTCTTTAGAACTACATGCTTTCTTTAGAACAGAATTTACATTAGGCTAATCATTAACAAAACACCTTATGAATTATGGAAAGACAAAAGGTCGAACATCTCTCACTTCCATCCCTTTAGATGCCAATTCTTCATTTTAAACTCTAAAGACAATTTGGGAAAGTTTGACTCCAAGAGTGATGAAAGAATCATGTTTGGCTATTCAGAAACATTAACAATGTTAAGAGTCTACAACTCTTACGGCCTTGAAAGTTGAGAAAATCATTCATGTAAAGTTTAATCATGAACCTGACCTAAACAAGTTAAAACTAGATTATTCATTTTCTAAATTGCAGATAAACAATACTCTGTCCAAAGAGGCGAATGCATCTACTTCATCATATATACTCAACAGTCAAAAAGAAAATCAACAGGAAAAGTCACTCAACAATACATCCAAACAACATCATAGTCCCTTCTCCATCTCGTGAAATTTATCCACCTACTTTCCCTTACCTTCACTCCCCAATCCAAATACTAGCCAAGAGTAATTACTTTCCACCTACATGTTATATACCTAAGAACCCTGCTTTTTACGTGGTATGATGAAAAAATTGATTACCCAATACATATTCCATCATTTTTCCTCATTCATTAATTTTTTTTTACTAATTACTCATTTATTTTCTTTATTCAATTTAATTGAATGATGAGATGCTTTTATAATTTAATTTATTCTTAAATAGCTGTTTTAACTCATTCTATCTATTATATAAAATTAAATCCTCATATATCTATATCAGACACTCGTATCGAAAACATAGTTCAAATAATTTTAGATAATAAAATTAAAATATTTAAGGTACAATGTTGGGATCATCCCCTTTTGACTCTTTGGAACATTTCTTAACTTCCTCAGTGTCTTCATTCTGAAAAAAAGAGGAAAGAAAATTATTGTCACATTACCACTCAAAACATCTCTTCCATCTACTGAAATTCCTTTATAATCTAAACCACTCTAACAAATTTCTCTGCACAAAACAAAGTTTTGAACCAAACCCACATTTTGATTAGTGATATTTTTCTAAACAGAAATGGGAGCAAAGAGTAGCAATTCTGCAGTGAATGTTTTCTTTGAAAAGTTGAAGAAGCTGCCAATGAAAGTGAAGATCTTTTTCTGGGTTTTGCTTGCTGTAATTGCTTTGTTGGTCTTAAAATCCACCATTAGAAGACGCTCTTATTTCTTTAAGTAATCCACTCCGTGGGGCTAATAGCCCACACATACAAGCTTTTTGCTCTCAAAACCTGCTCTGGTAAATTTCCTTTTCATCATTGATGAGTATATTTGCAAATGGTTCTCATGATTAGTTTTCATTGTTGATTGTTATCAATAACTTGTATACTTTGATTTGCCATTTTATGTTCTCTCTGCATCTTTTCATTTCAGAAAGATTAAATCCAAACAAGGATTCTAAACTTTAGATTACCTTTCAAAAGGACATTATAAGAAAGTTAGTTCAGAATGAAAAACTTACATTTTGAATTAAAAATGTGGATTTTCTTAATTAATTTAAATTAGAAAAGGGGTTGGCTGGGTTTGTTTTGTTTACTTTCTTTGTTGGCAAGATATGTGAATCTGTTTGTAATCTAAGAAAAGGATTTTGGTACAGTGTGATAATTAAATTATTCATATCTCCTTTGTAATTCCATTATTATTTAATTCTCTCTTTTGTTTCAATAACATTGTTTATCATATGTATCACATATTTATACAACAAGCACAATCTTTTCTTGGAGGAAAACAGGAAAGGGTTAAGTGTAAAACGAAAAAGGAACCAATCAAATACTTTCTTCTAATTCTAATTCTAATTCAATTTTCAGGTTTATCACTTACGAGCTCACAGCTCTATTCCTAGCAGCAAGATTATTAAGTCGAAAATCAAGTGTACATAAAGTCCACTCTGTTATAGATTTGAATCTCTTTCTTCAACATTAGTGATCATATGGATGATAAGATTCAAGTTGAAGTCATCCTATGTCAAAGATCTTGACAATATGAAACTCTATTTTGTGGTAAATAAACTTAACTGTTCTATTTGAAACCTTTCTTTTGCTCTTTTAATGATTATATATTTATATATCATATATTTATATATCACACTTAATAGATATATCTCTTAGTATAAAAAGATTAGTAAATAATTTCACTTCAACTAAAAACAAGACGATTTAAAATATATCAATAAATGTATTCACTTTAAAAGTTAAATTATATCAATAATTTTCATTTACAATGGATGTGTAAATAGACCAAAACAAATGTAACAATAACCATTAGTGGAAAAAATTAAATTATATGATAATATATTATCGGAGTTTTGCAAAACAGTCATAATATACCAACGCAAAACTTATAAATAATTTCAAAATGTATTATAACGGAGTTTTGCATATATGTCATAACATTACTAATGCTGTGTGCTAGGTGGTGCCTTCTGCAATTCTTGCAATACTAAATCATCCTTCTACAAATGGATGGAGAATAACTGGAAATTTTATGGCATTCAGTATGTATTTAGAAGCTATTTCTGTCATGCCTCAGCTTCGTTTAATGCAAAATGCAAAGGTTGTCTCCCTGGACTCAGTTACGGTTTTTTTGTTACTTCTTTATGTTGTCAGTTTCAGAGTACATGTTTTAACTCTCGTATGTTTCTAGATGATTGAAACATTTACAGGATATTATGTATTTGCTCTCGGTGTTTCAAGATTCATGGCACTGCCTCATTGGATAGTTCAGGTCAGATCAATTTTTACTTTTCATGTTCTGTATATTTAATGTGTTTGATTAAAATAAAATAAACCTTCTGTAAAGGTATAACATTAATCCGTTTGGAATCTAAACCTAAATCTAAGTTTTATATTAAGTAAAAATAAAAAAGTTGATCGCTATTAAAAAACTCATAAAATCAATTTCGTTTAATGTTTTACGTACTTTCTAAAGATTCATCAATATACAATAATAATTTCATACATTCATAATATAATCCAAATTTAATATTTTAAAATTTATATTCGATAGTGGGTTAATCAGCTAATTCAGATTATAAGTTAATTGGGTTGAATTGTTCAATGACAAATTTATATTAAATGAATTTATAAGAGAAATGTTATTTTTATTTAAATAAATAAAATAAATATAGTAAATTTTTAAATCACGTGTGTAATGATGATTTTTATAATAATCTATGATTTTGTATAGTTTATTATTATATTTTAATAAAAAAATGTTACAAAAACAAGTTAAAATATATTTACCAAATTATAAATATTAAAACAAATTTGAATCCATTATTTAAATTCGGCCATAATTAAAATATTTTACTAAATCTAATTGTGTGATTAAATTTGTTTAGAAGAAATTGTTTTCTCATACCTAATTTGTAATGATTTAATGATTTGTGCTCTATGTAACATCCGAAAATATAGCTGAAAACTATATATAAGAGTCATTACATAATAATAATGTAGAACAGTTTTTGGAAATAAAGTTAATTTACAGTTATCTTAAAATAATCATAAATTTAAAACCTTACAAAATTCTATCCTAATACAAAACTATATACAAGACAGAAAAGAAGAGTAAGCTAGTGTAATTTAATAGTCATGTGAGCATACAATTCCAAACAAACACATCAGATAATCATACATATGTATAAAACATATGAACACAGATTGACCGACCACTTTAACTTGGTCGTCCGAACTAGTATGAATATGTAGCTATGGTCGTTTGTGCACTTGTGGATGTAGTAACTGGAAACTCATTAGTTGCCACACAAGGTTAGCCCGTTATCACTCACTGTAGGTCCCCCCTAGGTTAGGGCTTCCTGTTATTCTCACGACATAACTTACCCATCTCTACTTGAGAATTGGTAATCATTAGAATTTCAGGATGAACGCCGTGAATTTCGCTGTCATAATTCATACTTTACCAACCAATCACTAAGACATTCCTCCTTGGAATTCTCTTTCATACCAGTTGAAACATAATCCTTTATAAAAACATCCACTCCATTATGCATACATAGCATGTTCATATAACTGAATTTAAACAAGTTTATTAAACAACAATTGAAACCGCATGCAAGACCGAACACGCTGCGTACGTTGGAGACCGAATGGTTTCTCACTACCCCAAAGAACAGGACCGAACGGTCTATAATAGTGATAACGGTTTAAAATACTGTTATCTGTGATGTAATTTTGATACTAAATGCACCTTTTTTGACTTAGAAACTTGCTTGAACTCATGTTTTTTCATTAAGTTGTGTGAATAAGAGAGTTGAGGTTGAATTTGATGATTTTATGACTAATTCCCTTTGTTTTAATAGAAAATGAGTTAATACAGGAAGCAGAGATGAAGTGCTAAGGATATAGAGCTCAGAAAGGCCTAGAAAAGCACCAGANAAGTCACATCATGCATTATTATCCAATTCCGAAAAAGTCGAGAAAACATTATTCAACCACCCCTCCTCCACCCCCCTCCCCCCTTCTAGTGTTCTCTCGCACCTTCAACGTCCTGATCTTGCAAGTGTGTTGATGAAGCTTTTTCAAAGGGTAGACTCTATATGAACAACGATAGTAACAAAAGCAAATAAAGATGAAGATGGTCATAGAAGAGAATTTGAAAATGAACTTTTTCAAAAATTGAGAAAACGGTGGCATTAACCACAACTTTCCAACTCCAAGGACTCCATAGAAAAATGGAGTCGTTGAGAGGAAAAATAGGTCTTTACAAGAGATAGCCAAAACAATGTTAAATGTTTTAAATTTTCCTAAGCACTTTTGGACAAAAGTAGTCAGAACTACATGCTTTCTTTAGAACTACATGCTTTCTTTAGAACAGAATTTACATTAGGCTAATCATTAACAAAACACCTTATGAATTATGGAAAGACAAAAGGTCGAACATCTCTCACTTCCATCCCTTTAGATGCCAATTCTTCATTTTAAACTCTAAAGACAATTTGGGAAAGTTTGACTCCAAGAGTGATGAAAGAATCATGTTTGGCTATTCAGAAACATTAACAATGTTAAGAGTCTACAACTCTTACGGCCTTGAAAGTTGAGAAAATCATTCATGTAAAGTTTAATCATGAACCTGACCTAAACAAGTTAAAACTAGATTATTCATTTTCTAAATTGCAGATAAACAATACTCTGTCCAAAGAGGCGAATGCATCTACTTCATCATATATACTCAACAGTCAAAAAGAAAATCAACAGGAAAAGTCACTCAACAATACATCCAAACAACATCATAGTCCCTTCTCCATCTCGTGAAATTTATCCACCTACTTTCCCTTACCTTCACTCCCCAATCCAAATACTAGCCAAGAGTAATTACTTTCCACCTACATGTTATATACCTAAGAACCCTGCTTTTTACGTGGTATGATGAAAAAATTGATTACCCAATACATATTCCATCATTTTTCCTCATTCATTAATTTTTTTTTACTAATTACTCATTTATTTTCTTTATTCAATTTAATTGAATGATGAGATGCTTTTATAATTTAATTTATTCTTAAATAGCTGTTTTAACTCATTCTATCTATTATATAAAATTAAATCCTCATATATCTATATCAGACACTCGTATCGAAAACATAGTTCAAATAATTTTAGATAATAAAATTAAAATATTTAAGGTACAATGTTGGGATCATCCCCTTTTGACTCTTTGGAACATTTCTTAACTTCCTCAGTGTCTTCATTCTGAAAAAAAGAGGAAAGAAAATTATTGTCACATTACCACTCAAAACATCTCTTCCATCTACTGAAATTCCTTTATAATCTAAACCACTCTAACAAATTTCTCTGCACAAAACAAAGTTTTGAACCAAACCCACATTTTGATTAGTGATATTTTTCTAAACAGAAATGGGAGCAAAGAGTAGCAATTCTGCAGTGAATGTTTTCTTTGAAAAGTTGAAGAAGCTGCCAATGAAAGTGAAGATCTTTTTCTGGGTTTTGCTTGCTGTAATTGCTTTGTTGGTCTTAAAATCCACCATTAGAAGACGCTCTTATTTCTTTAAGTAATCCACTCCGTGGGGCTAATAGCCCACACATACAAGCTTTTTGCTCTCAAAACCTGCTCTGGTAAATTTCCTTTTCATCATTGATGAGTATATTTGCAAATGGTTCTCATGATTAGTTTTCATTGTTGATTGTTATCAATAACTTGTATACTTTGATTTGCCATTTTATGTTCTCTCTGCATCTTTTCATTTCAGAAAGATTAAATCCAAACAAGGATTCTAAACTTTAGATTACCTTTCAAAAGGACATTATAAGAAAGTTAGTTCAGAATGAAAAACTTACATTTTGAATTAAAAATGTGGATTTTCTTAATTAATTTAAATTAGAAAAGGGGTTGGCTGGGTTTGTTTTGTTTACTTTCTTTGTTGGCAAGATATGTGAATCTGTTTGTAATCTAAGAAAAGGATTTTGGTACAGTGTGATAATTAAATTATTCATATCTCCTTTGTAATTCCATTATTATTTAATTCTCTCTTTTGTTTCAATAACATTGTTTATCATATGTATCACATATTTATACAACAAGCACAATCTTTTCTTGGAGGAAAACAGGAAAGGGTTAAGTGTAAAACGAAAAAGGAACCAATCAAATACTTTCTTCTAATTCTAATTCTAATTCAATTTTCAGGTTTATCACTTACGAGCTCACAGCTCTATTCCTAGCAGCAAGATTATTAAGTCGAAAATCAAGTGTACATAAAGTCCACTCTGTTATAGATTTGAATCTCTTTCTTCAACATTAGTGATCATATGGATGATAAGATTCAAGTTGAAGTCATCCTATATCAAGGATCTTGACAATATGAAACTCTATTTTGTGGTAAATAAACTTAACTGTTCTATTTGAAACCTTTCTTTTGCTCTTTTAATGATTATATATTTATATATCATATATTTATATATCACACTTAATAGATATATCTCTTAGTATAAAAAGATTAGTAAATAATTTCACTTCAACTAAAAACAAGACGATTTAAAATATATCAATAAATGTATTCAATTTAAAAGTTAAATTATATCAATAATTTTCATTTACAATGGATGTGTAAATAGACCAAAACAAATGTAACAATAACCATTAGTGGAAAAAATTAAATTATATGATAATATATTATCGGAGTTTTGCAAAACAGTCATAATATACCAACGCAAAACTTATAAATAATTTCAAAATATATTATAACGAAATTTAAAAAAAAAAAAAAAAAAATACTAATACTGTGTGCTAGGTGGTGCCTTCTGCAATTCTTGCAATACTAAATAATCCTTATACAAATGGATGGAGAATAACTGGAAATTTTATGGCATTCAGTATATATTTAGAAGCTATTTCTGTCATGCCTCAGCTTCGTTTAATGCAAAATGCAAAGGTTGTCTCCCTGGACTCAGTTACGGTTTTTTTGTTACTTCTTTATGTTGTCAGTTTCAGAGTACATGTTTTAACTCTCGTATGTTTCTAGATGATTGAAACATTTACAGGATATTATGTATTTGCTCTCGGTGTTTCAAGATTCATGGCACTGCCTCATTGGATAGTTCAGGTCAGATCAATTTTTACTTTACATGTTCTGTATATTTAATGTGTTTGATTAAAAGCACACATTGCCCAAATAAAATAAACCTTCTGTAAAGGTATAACATTAATCCGTTTGGAATCTAAACCTAAATCTAAGTTTTATATTAAGTAAAAATAAAAAAGTTGATCGCTATTAAAAAACTCATAAAATCAATTTCGTTTAATGTTTTACGTACTTTCTAAAGATTCATCAATATACAATAATAATTTCATACATTCATAATATAATCCAAATTTAATATTTTAAAATTTATATTCGATAGTGGGTTAATCAGCTAATTCAGATTATAAGTTAATTGGGTTGAATTGTTCAATGACAAATTTATATTAAATGAATTTATAAGAGAAATGTTATTTTTATTTAAATAAATAAAATAAATATAGTAAATTTTTAAATCACGTGTGTAATGATGATTTTTATAATAATCTATGATTTTGTATAGTTTATTATTATATTTTAATAAAAAAATGTTACAAAAACAAGTTAAAATATATTTACCAAATTATAAATATTAAAACAAATTTGAATCCATTATTTAAATTCGGCCATAATTAAAATATTTTACTAAATCTAATTGTGTGATTAAATTTGTTTAGAAGAAATTGTTTTCTCATACCTAATTTGTAATGATTTAATGATTTGTGCTCTATGTAACATCCGAAAATATAGCTGAAAACTATATATAAGAGTCATTACATAATAATAATGTAGAACAGTTTTTGGAAATAAAGTTAATTTACAGTTATCTTAAAATAATCATAAATTTAAAACCTTACAAAATTCTATCCTAATACAAAACTATATACAAGACAGAAAAGAAGAGTAAGCTAGTGTAATTTAATAGTCATGTGAGCATACAATTCCAAACAAACACATCAGATAATCATACATATGTATAAAACATATGAACACAGATTGACCGACCACTTTAACTTGGTCGTCCGAACTAGTATGAATATGTAGCTATGGTCGTTTGTGCACTTGTGGATGTAGTAACTGGAAACTCATTAGTTGCCACACAAGGTTAGCCCGTTATCACTCACTGTAGGTCCCCCCTAGGTTAGGGCTTCCTGTTATTCTCACGACATAACTTACCCATCTCTACTTGAGAATTGGTAATCATTAGAATTTCAGGATGAACGCCGTGAATTTCGCTGTCATAATTCATACTTTACCAACCAATCACTAAGACATTCCTCCTTGGAATTCTCTTTCATACCAGTTGAAACATAATCCTTTATAAAAACATCCACTCCATTATGCATACATAGCATGTTCATATAACTGAATTTAAACAAGTTTATTAAACAACAATTGAAACCGCATGCAAGACCGAACACGCTGCGTACGTTGGAGACCGAATGGTTTCTCACTACCCCAAAGAACAGGACCGAACGGTCTATAATAGTGATAACGGTTTAAAATACTGTTATCTGTGATGTAATTTTGATACTAAATGCACCTTTTTTGACTTAGAAACTTGCTTGAACTCATGTTTTTTCATTAAGTTGTGTGAATAAGAGAGTTGAGGTTGAATTTGATGATTTTATGACTAATTCCCTTTGTTTTAATAGAAAATGAGTTAATACAGGAAGCAGAGATGAAGTGCTAAGGATATAGAGCTCAGAAAGGCCTAGAAAAGCACCAGANTTCTGAAAAAAAGAGGAAAGAAAATTATTGTCACATTACCACTCAAAACATCTCTTCCATCTACTGAAATTCCTTTATAATCTAAACCACTCTAACAAATTTCTCTGCACAAAACAAAGTTTTGAACCAAACCCACATTTTGATTAGTGATATTTTTCTAAACAGAAATGGGAGCAAAGAGTAGCAATTCTGCAGTGAATGTTTTCTTTGAAAAGTTGAAGAAGCTGCCAATGAAAGTGAAGATCTTTTTCTGGGTTTTGCTTGCTGTAATTGCTTTGTTGGTCTTAAAATCCACCATTAGAAGACGCTCTTATTTCTTTAAGTAATCCACTCCGTGGGGCTAATAGCCCACACATACAAGCTTTTTGCTCTCAAAACCTGCTCTGGTAAATTTCCTTTTCATCATTGATGAGTATATTTGCAAATGGTTCTCATGATTAGTTTTCATTGTTGATTGTTATCAATAACTTGTATACTTTGATTTGCCATTTTATGTTCTCTCTGCATCTTTTCATTTCAGAAAGATTAAATCCAAACAAGGATTCTAAACTTTAGATTACCTTTCAAAAGGACATTATAAGAAAGTTAGTTCAGAATGAAAAACTTACATTTTGAATTAAAAATGTGGATTTTCTTAATTAATTTAAATTAGAAAAGGGGTTGGCTGGGTTTGTTTTGTTTACTTTCTTTGTTGGCAAGATATGTGAATCTGTTTGTAATCTAAGAAAAGGATTTTGGTACAGTGTGATAATTAAATTATTCATATCTCCTTTGTAATTCCATTATTATTTAATTCTCTCTTTTGTTTCAATAACATTGTTTATCATATGTATCACATATTTATACAACAAGCACAATCTTTTCTTGGAGGAAAACAGGAAAGGGTTAAGTGTAAAACGAAAAAGGAACCAATCAAATACTTTCTTCTAATTCTAATTCTAATTCAATTTTCAGGTTTATCACTTACGAGCTCACAGCTCTATTCCTAGCAGCAAGATTATTAAGTCGAAAATCAAGTGTACATAAAGTCCACTCTGTTATAGATTTGAATCTCTTTCTTCAACATTAGTGATCATATGGATGATAAGATTCAAGTTGAAGTCATCCTATGTCAAAGATCTTGACAATATGAAACTCTATTTTGTGGTAAATAAACTTAACTGTTCTATTTGAAACCTTTCTTTTGCTCTTTTAATGATTATATATTTATATATCATATATTTATATATCACACTTAATAGATATATCTCTTAGTATAAAAAGATTAGTAAATAATTTCACTTCAACTAAAAACAAGACGATTTAAAATATATCAATAAATGTATTCACTTTAAAAGTTAAATTATATCAATAATTTTCATTTACAATGGATGTGTAAATAGACCAAAACAAATGTAACAATAACCATTAGTGGAAAAAATTAAATTATATGATAATATATTATCGGAGTTTTGCAAAACAGTCATAATATACCAACGCAAAACTTATAAATAATTTCAAAATGTATTATAACGGAGTTTTGCATATATGTCATAACATTACTAATGCTGTGTGCTAGGTGGTGCCTTCTGCAATTCTTGCAATACTAAATCATCCTTCTACAAATGGATGGAGAATAACTGGAAATTTTATGGCATTCAGTATGTATTTAGAAGCTATTTCTGTCATGCCTCAGCTTCGTTTAATGCAAAATGCAAAGGTTGTCTCCCTGGACTCAGTTACGGTTTTTTTGTTACTTCTTTATGTTGTCAGTTTCAGAGTACATGTTTTAACTCTCGTATGTTTCTAGATGATTGAAACATTTACAGGATATTATGTATTTGCTCTCGGTGTTTCAAGATTCATGGCACTGCCTCATTGGATAGTTCAGGTCAGATCAATTTTTACTTTTCATGTTCTGTATATTTAATGTGTTTGATTAAAATAAAATAAACCTTCTGTAAAGGTATAACATTAATCCGTTTGGAATCTAAACCTAAATCTAAGTTTTATATTAAGTAAAAATAAAAAAGTTGATCGCTATTAAAAAACTCATAAAATCAATTTCGTTTAATGTTTTACGTACTTTCTAAAGATTCATCAATATACAATAATAATTTCATACATTCATAATATAATCCAAATTTAATATTTTAAAATTTATATTCGATAGTGGGTTAATCAGCTAATTCAGATTATAAGTTAATTGGGTTGAATTGTTCAATGACAAATTTATATTAAATGAATTTATAAGAGAAATGTTATTTTTATTTAAATAAATAAAATAAATATAGTAAATTTTTAAATCACGTGTGTAATGATGATTTTTATAATAATCTATGATTTTGTATAGTTTATTATTATATTTTAATAAAAAAATGTTACAAAAACAAGTTAAAATATATTTACCAAATTATAAATATTAAAACAAATTTGAATCCATTATTTAAATTCGGCCATAATTAAAATATTTTACTAAATCTAATTGTGT